ATGGACAGTAAAATCTGCAGAAGCCAGAACCTGTGCAAAGTGGAAACTTGTCAGAGAAGGAAAACACAAATATTTTCCACTAAGAAGAAAGCAATAGAAATGTGTTGACTGCACCTTGTCAAAGATGGAAAACTTACAAGACCTAAACAAGGCAGTCCATTGAATTCTGGCTCTCATGGTATACCCCCTCCCCTCATTTTATTATTCAAGGAGAACTGCCGTTTCCAGTGAAATTCAGGAATTTCTAGATAGGCTACTTGAAATTGTGAAACAGGTATCAGAGTAAGGATCTGATCTTTACTTGATCATCTCTCTGGATGTAGCTTATTTTTTAAAATACTTTGTTTCTAGAAACTATCTTTGGAAGATTAAGGTTGAGATTTAAGGTAGTTGCTTAAATATATTTTTCAGTTAAAATTTTATATGAACTTAAGGGCCTTCTAAGAGTCTTCTTTTGCCTCATTTCCTTCCCAAATTATCCTTCAAAGCAAACTTACAAACCTGTGTTAATGTGAGCTCTGTCTCATTTTCTGATTTGATTTTTCTTAATCTGATTTACTTATTTTTCCTTATCCCACATATTCTAGCTTTCACACAGTTTTTAATAATGCTCTAGTGGCCAGGTTCAAACCCACCAGCCACTCCTTGGAAGGAAGGTTGAGCAACCTACTTCTGTAGTGATACTGCCTCGGAAACCCAAAGAGGGCTCGCTTTGAGTCAGTTCCGACTTGACGGCAGTAAGTGGCCAGGAGAGCCCATGGACTTCTTGAAATTTAGCTTTCTGACTCTTGGAGATGCATGTTGTTAAGATTCTTTCCTATGACAGGTTACAGAACGAGTGGTGAGCTGCACGGAGGGCTTCCAGTTTTTCTTCTCTATGAAACATACAGAACATTTGGGCCAGACTGAGCATATTGTTTTCGTTCCTTTTTTTTTTTTTTTTAAAGAGCAACACTTATATACAGATTTAATGTAGAGAAGGCTGTGTATTCATATTATTTCCCTTAAAAGTGGTTGCTTGACTAATATAATCAGGAGTGTGAGTTATTGTTAAGAGATGCTTGGGACCTCAGTGAAAACATGCTGAGAGAATGTGTTTCCATTTCTTTTCCTGTATCCATCTCTACAAAACACTTCAAACAAATGGCTCTACGTGCTCTGTGGGCAGTGGTGACATTACGGTTTTTTGTAAAGATGCGTTGCTTTAGAACATGAGGAAAGTGAGCATGATTCGTCATTTGCTCCCAGAGCATAAGAAGAAGTGTTAGGAGACTTCAGGTCTCGACCTGGACCTGCCCATCATTGCTCGTGGGCTTTCATCTCTGTGGGCGTCAGTGCATTGCCAAGGATGATCTCAAAGTTCCCCTTTAGTTGCTGTCATTCTCTGATGCTGTGGGTTATGTTCTTTTTTATTTTTGGTGGGGGTATGAAGAGAAGTGAGTGTTCTCGGTCACTAGAATGAGGAACATGACTGAAAAGTACCCTAAACTAAATCTGGTCATAGCCTATGTCCCCAATTTTCTTCCTCTGTTCTGAAGTGGCCTTCCTATTGGGGGCTCAGTGATGTGTATCTAACACCTGCTATGTGCATAGCTCAGAGGGGAGTTTTCTTTTTTTTCTTTTAAGTTTTTTCTCATTTCCTCCATGTGTCCTCCTTTCCTATGCATTCCTGCCCTCTGAGCTATCTCCCTGTGCAAATACTGCCCTTCTGACCTCCTCCCATGGTTGATGATTCCAAGGGGTGTATCTACCTGGTGTAAATGTTCACCTTAATGCCTGTCTGTTGTTTGGCTGAAAACCACAGGTGGAAGATCAATTCCAGGCCCAAAGGGTGACTAGGAGCCATAGTCTTGGGGGTTTCACCCATCTCTATCAGAGAGATGGGATAAGCCTGGCCTTACCAGAGTAAGCCTGGTCATTTTCACAATTTTGAATTCTGTTCTACATTTTTCTCCCACTTTATCCAGCATCTCCTATTTTGTTCCCTTTCTGAGTGGTTGACAGTGGTAGCTGGGCACCATCTAGTTCTTCTTGTCTCTGAGTCATATAGGCTGAGGTTTGCATAATCTACTAGTCCCTTGGACTAATTGTTTCCATGCACCTTTGCTATTCTTCATTCTTCTTGGCTCTGGAACAAGAGAGACCAACTGTTGTATTTGGATGGCTGCTTGTAAGCTTTTAAGACCCCATTTGCTAAAATGTGTGTTTTTGTGTGATATATTATGCCCATTGAGCTAGATGTCCCCTGAGACCATGGCCATAGGGGAGTTTAAAGGAAGCTTCTTATAAAGGACTCAGTTATCAAAATAAAGGTTTGTGATTATCCTTAGTACTGCCACAGGTGCTTCTCTGATGACTTGTATTTCCATGGTCTGAGGAAGAGCTTGGGACTGAGGATTCTTATTATGTTGTTGGTGGTGTTACTTTGGCTCATCTAATGACAAATAAAAAGACCCGTAACCCAGTGCGGAACTTATCTTCTTCTCATCCTACCCACTTCCTCTACTGACTTTTGTCTCTATTAATAGCACATTAACCTCCTAATGACCTAGACCGGAATTTGCAGAATCATTCTTGATTTTTACCCTCAAGTAGCTGCCAAGTCCTCTCCAGCCTATGCTTTATCACTTCAGTCCCTCTCTTCCTTGGCTTTCCAAAGCCACCCCCATAACTTGTTGCTATTTAACTGAAATAGACTCAGAACTGAGAGAAGCTTGAGCCACTTCCATTTTTCAGGACACCTACATATTTAAAAAAGAGAATTTCAAAACAGGAGTATGAAAAATCAGTCGGCCTGTAATTTCTGAAATCAATGCTTTTAACACATGAACAGTACCATCCATCTCTAATATTTATAAGACAATTATATGATGCATAAAAACATTATTTCTTGGAACTCGAATTTAAAGCCAGGTGGTGAGCATCTTTCAATCCTGTTGCAGGAGGCTTCTCTTGACTTGGAGGCTTTTTATGAACAGAGGACTGGGCCATGTAACTCCTCTGCCTATATTCTGTTAGAATCTATGCCACTTGCTCCTCTCTCTGCCAGTCTTCCTGTACTCCTCCATTCTACATCGTTTCACCTAATTAAGCTTCTTAAGACTCAGATATAATTATGTGATTTGGCCATTCAGTGATCTTCAGGGGCCTAATGAATGAAGATACATTTTATTTAATATTCTGTCCTTGGAGTTTTTCCTTAAAATATTCACCTCTATTCTGTACAATAGTAGACTTTTGAAGTTCACCATGGATATGTTCCAAGACCATCATAATTCCCCAAATGTATAATTTCTGGTTATAATGTCTAAGTTGACCCCCTTATAAAGTGGGGTAAGACTACATCTCTCACAAGGTTTTGTAGGAGTGGTTATCAGTTGTATTTAACCATTATTTAAGAAACATTTTTCATGTGTCAACTCCACAGGTTTAAATTGATGCCATAGCCAAATTACAAATGGTATAGTTCAGGTTGAGTCTGTTAAGTTAGTAAATGTCTAGGGGCTACTCTCTGACATTCCTGAATCCAAATGAGTCATTTCCTCTTTGCTAAATTCCCCTGAGACCTCAGCTGGTAACACACTTCTCTCACCTGCCCACCATCCTCACTCCTTTTTTTTTTTTTTTTTTTTTTGAAATACAGCCCTTTCCACCCTCCAGGCCCAGTGTACATCAGTCCATCTCTCTCTGACTACTTGAGGAGAGGGAACCACGCCCTTCCTCTGAACTTCCAAATGCCT